CCCCAAAACCCCAAAACCCCAAAACCCCAAAACCCCTTCAAACCCAGATTCGATTGAAACTAACAACACCTCTACCTACATAGAGCTAAAATACATATTCTTTTTAAGCTTCTTGATCCAAATCCTCTCTTCAAAGTTCCTAATTCCTGCTGATTTCGGGCTCTTAACCCCTGGAGATCCTGGCTTCTGCTTCATGTTACAGTTCTTTATTACAAGCTCTACAGATTTGGGGAAAGAACTTACTCTGAAACTGTGGCAACCTTCCTTGAATTTTACCATGGAAATTCCGCAGATTTGATGAACAGGTTGGCTTATTTGTACCCAGGTGGGGAAATTATCTTCTTTGCTAAGGGAGAAATACTCCTTAGTCTACCTATAAGAGAGATTAGGGCTAGACTAGGAATACTCTTGCTTTTTAGCGATAATATGTTCTTCTCTCTTGAGTTAATCTTATTCATAATCATTGATAAGCACTCGGTTATGGTTGAATTGGTTGGTCCTTGAGGCTTCTTAGGTTTTATTTTAATCCGTGACTTTAGTCGACTTTTGTAATTAGCCACCTTTCTTAGCTCCGTCCTTCAAACTTTTTCATCCTTCTTCTGAAGCTTTTCTGGTCATAGTTCAAGTATTCTGGTCTATTTTATTAATAGCATTCTGAGGTTTTATTACATTAAATATGTTCGATTTTAAGAAGAGTTTTAGCATTCTTTAGAAATTTCATAAGGAGCTAATACAATCGGTGTTTACATCATATGGAATTGAATAAAATTGGCTTACACTGGACTTAAATTTAGATGGGTGAACTTTCTTTTGTTTATCTAAAATAATAATATAAGACCATACTTCGGAAACAACGGAGATTGTTATTTTCAGCAGGTGTTTCTGCATGCCGGTTTGAAAATGTATCTGGAGAGGAGTCAGCCTATGAATCAAAATGATAACATACTTCATCGTCAAAATCACGGCCTTCTTCAATTTTCTTCATAATTGGTTCGATATTACATGTATTATCAGGGGTATTCCCTAAGCTTTTCATAGAAGTCATCTTGTAATATTCTCTAGCCTTAAAACTGTTCTCTTTGATCAATTCAAATGGTTTTGGCTTTGTATCTACTAATTTGACCAAATACCTTACCTTCATCAAAAGTAAACCCAAACTTATTAGTAAGTGATTTTATAAGCTGTTTGCGTCTTTGTGCATTCCTTGAAGGAGAATTGAGACCTTTAAATGGCAATAACTTAAAGAATCCCTTTTTCTTCAACTCCTTTGGGTCAGCAGTCTTATACCCGAACCTTTTCTGGGAAATCAGAAACAGAGTTGAGTCATTAAGGCATTCTATAAGCGTAGAGATATCACTTTCATTCTTGAGTAAAGACTTTTTCTTCTCTAAAAGCTCAGGGTAAATGATTTTCTGAAAGACAAGAGCTCTGAAGACATTAAAGTTCTGCATGACCAGATCTTTATCTGTCTCATCAATCATTTCGAAAATGTCCTTCTTCAGTCTTTCCTTCTTGACTATGGGATTAGGCTATGAGCTCACCTAGTTTGAGGATTCCACAATTATTATTGTTGTTCTGGACATAGTCCAGAAATTGCTTCCAGAAGTGGCTAGAGATATTATTCATGTGAGTACTTTATCTTGCTCTCGAGGGAGAGATCCTGGAAAGAGAAGTTAAACATCTCACTTGGCTCCAGATCGCTCTGGACTGACTTTATTGAAGGTTTGGCACTCTCTTCTATCATTGTAAGTTAGTGGAATCTTAGGAAAATTTGTGGTGAGTGAGAGAGATTTGCATTGAAAATACTTACTTTGCTCCTTAGTTTTGGGAGAATTCATCCCAAATCTATTTTTATTTCAAAAACATTTCTGTGTGGCTATATAGAATTAGACTACTGAGGATGGTATTAAAAACTCAAAGAAGTAAAAATAAATGCTCTTGTTAGACCATGAAGGAATCTGACATGCAATTCTAAGATAGATGATTTAATAGAGGATCGGGCTTTTGCTGTATTATTATAATTTTATAGCATCTTGATCATTCTAAAATATCAGAAATACTAAAATCTTAATAAAATTTAATGTAATATAATATATCTAAAAAAACTAATTTTCATAAAAACGGTATAGTCATTAACGAATTTGCAGAACATCCCAAATTCTCTTAGACCTCCAAAGTCTCACTTTTCAGGCTAAAATCTTCAAATTAATTTGAAAATAAATTGACAATTAACCAATTAAAATTCTGAGTCAATATCAAATCCTAGGCTAAAACTCTGGTGAAACTCAGCTTTATCTAATTACACAAACCTATAGAAAGAACTAATCATTAGAAAGTAATCAGAATCAAGCTCTTTGTAGCAAATACCATCCTCCACTCCTTATGCCCTCCCAATCCTTACTTGAACCCAGGGCACAGCTTTCAACCTCTTTTAATTTCTCTCTCAAAATAACTGATTAACCCTTAAGAGCCGAACTAAATTTGTTCTAGTACGACAGATAAATTCTTACGAGGGATTATGGACTCAGAAAAGTGAGGATAGAGGATGGGGATCTAGGGTTTGAGGCAGGTGTTTTCGAGAATTATGACGCTACTGGATATATATCTACCCCATTAAGAGCTTCTTATTGTTTGCTGTCTTATAACAACAATATCCTTTCTAATTCTCTATATTACGCAACTTTCCTCCCATCCTCACATACTTCCAAACCTACCAAGCCAGTCACTATAAAAATGACCCTAAAGCGCTCATAACTACCCTTCATTCTAAAACTTCTTCTGCACTGAAACAAAAAGGTTGTCTAAGTAATGCTGGAAGAAGGGGTATTAGAGTTATTCAAAAGGATTAGAGGAATAATAAGCTTACAAGTTGTTCTCGTTCAGAGGGAATATGTTGAACCGTTTATTTGGCTTTATTTGGTCTTTGGGGTTGAAGCTTTTGCAAAGGAAGTCAACATTCTATATACTTTTGTGAGATTTTTAAGGGAAGGAGAGGGATTTAGAAGGATTGGATGGGTTTTAAAGGTTTGGAGCAGTAAGATGGACCAGAGGGTTTTTGGATATCAAAAATTGGATTAGTTTGAAAGAAGTGTGAATATTTTATGGATTATACCTTTCGGGAAGAGTTGTGATGAGCCATTATTTCCTGGCAATTTTTGATAAAAAAATAAAATATTTTTTGTTGGGGTTTTGGGGTTTTGGGGTTTTGGGGTTTTGGGG